ACCCCTAAACCCCTAAACCCCTAAACCCCTAAACCCCTAAACCCCTAAACCCCTAAACCCCTAAACCCCTAAACCCCTAAACCCCTAAACCCCTAAACCCCTAAACCCCTAAACCCCTACACCCCTAAACCCCTAAACCCCTAAACCCCTAAACCCCTAAACCCCTAAACCCCTAAACCCCTAAACCCCTAAACCCCTAAACCCCTAAACCCCTAAAGCCTGGACCCTGCAACTCCACAAAGGAGCGAGTGAACATGGCCTTGGCCATGGCGGCTTAGGGATCCGGTAAACCCCTAAAGCCGATTCTACGAAACCCCCCAAACCCCAAACCCCAAACCCCAAACCCCAAACCCCAAACCCCAAACCCCAAACCCCAAACCCCAAACCCCAAACCCCAAAACCCAAACCCCAAACCCCAAACACCAAACCCCAAACCCCAAACCCCAAACCCCAAACCCCAAACCCCAAACCCCAAACCCCAACCCCAAACCCCAAACCCCAAACCCTAAACCCTAAACCCGCTAACCCAAAGCGCCTAACCCATTCAACCCCTAAATCCCAAGCCCCCAAAGCTCGAAGCTGAAACTTGACAGCCCTAAACCCTAAACCCCAAACCCTAAACCCTAAACCCTAAACCCCAAACCCTGAACCTTGAACCCTAAACCATCGAATTGCAGCTCGGGATCGTTCACAAAATCCGAGGCTGGGGCCCGGGGAGGGACGATCCATGTCGAACCAGAGCGGTTTGGGATGTGCGGATTGAATTCGGGTACGGGGTTTGGGGTTTAGGGTTTAGGGCTAGGGTTTAGGGTTTAGGGTTTAGGGTTTAGGGGTTTTAGGGGTTTTAGGGGTTTAGGGGTTTAGGGGTTTAGGGGTTTAGGGGTTTAGGGGTTTAGGGGTTTAGGGGTTTAGGGGTTTAGGGGTTTAGGGGTTTAGGGCGTTGAGGTCAAGAGCTTGGAGTTCAGGGTTGGCGGTGTGGGGCCCGGGGATGATGAAGGGAATATGTAGAGTTCGTTGGTTGTTGCGGATTTAGGGTTTAGGGTTTAGGGCTTAGGGTTTAGGGTTTAGGGTTTAGGATTTAGGGTTTGGGGTTTAGGGTTTAGAGTTTAGGGCTTTAAGGTTTAGGGATTAGGGTTTAGGGTTTAGGGTCTAGGGTTTACGAAGAAATACAAAAAGAACTTGACGCCCCAACCGTGGATCCAAACCCTGTCCTATTTCTGCTGGAAACGGGGTACCCCAAATCCAAGACCCTCAACTCCAAAGCCCGAACCCCAAACCCGAAAGCCTGGGCCCCCCAAACCCTAAACCCCAAACCCTAAACCCTAAACCCTAAACCCCAAACCCCAAACCCCAAACCCCAAACCCCAAACAGAGCTTGAGCCTACGCCGGGGCTTGGACTTCGGTGTAGAATGTCCGGGACCTAGCATCTCGGATCTAGGTTGCAAGCAAGGAATATGAATAGGGGATAGGATTAGGGGGACCCTTGAAGATATAGACCCTCTGAATAAGGTCCCTGTTTAATAGAGACAGAAGAAGGTTAAGAAGGGTTCCCTTTCAAGGGTCCCCCCTATCCTGCCTGGAATGAAAGGCTTTAGGTTTTAGGGTTTAGGAACTCATCGGAAAAAGCAAAGGACCTACAGCCCACTGCGGTCTAGGAGTTCAGGGTTTCAGGGCTTCCCTGAACCCTACACCATACAACTTGTAACTTAAAACCCTATTTTGGGGGGTTCGGGGGCTTACGGGCGGTACAAGGTACCTACTTCCCCATTCCCTACGAAAGGCCTCAATGCTAAAGCGTGTTACCACTTCTGGAAGCTGCAGCCTCCAAGTTCGTTTCCATAGCTACAGCTGCATTAGCCGTACCACCCAGTACTCAACCCTAAACCCGAAACCCGAAACCCTAAACCCTAAACCCTAAAAGGAACCCAAAAAAGGGGTCTGCGGCTCATAGACCTTCGTGGGAATTATGGTAGTATAGGGCCCGAAGGGTCCATGTACCTCATTTAGGGTTTAGGGTTTAGGGTTTAGGGTTTAGGGTTTAGGGTTTAGGGTTTAGGGGTAAGGGGTTTAGGGGTAAGGGGTTTAGGGTTTAGGGTTTAGGGTTTAGGGTTTAGGGTTTAGGGTTTAGGGTTTAGGGTTTAGGGTTTAGGGTTTAGGGTTTGATATACATGGGGACAAAGGCTCTATATAGGAAGAAGGCCAAGTACTCCCTATTCAGGTACATGGACCCTAAGGGCTCAGTCTCCCTAAACCCTAAACCCTTAAACCCTAAACCCTAAACTGTAAACCCTAGACCCTGAACTTTAGGCCCTAAACCCCCCCCCCCTATTTAGGTACATGGACTATATAGGGTATCTGACCCCCTTTTTTGGGGGGGTTCATTTGGCTCTGAACCCTACCAGCCCAAAGCCGTAAAACAGACAACTCGAGGCAAGACCGAGCCTCAGAATGGGTTTCTTCCTAAACCCTAAACCCTAAACCCGAAACCCCAAACCCTAAACCCTAAACCCCAAACCTTAAACCCCAAAACAGATCCTCCCAAGGGGTCTGCCTAAGGCTCTTGCCTTACGAAAGCATTGCGACGATCGGGCCGGCGCCGTCTTCAGTCAAGAGCCGCTCCCAGGCCCATTCAACTGGGAGTGTGGGGTTTTAGGGTTTAGGGTTTTAGGGTTTGGGGCTTGGGGTTTAGGGTTTAGGGTTTAGGGCTTAGGGTTTAGGGCTGAGGGTTTAGGGCTTAGGGCTTAGGGCTTAGGGCTTAGGGCTTAGGGCTTAGGGCTTAGGGCTTAGGGCTTAGGGCTTAGGGCTTAGGGCTTAGGGCTTAGGGCTTAGGGCTTAGGGCTTAGGGCTTAGGGCTTAGAGTTCAAGGGGCTGCTTGGTATACCTTTCAACCATCCAGAATGAACATCGGTAACCCTTCCGTGGGGAGATGCTTTAACACATAGAAGGGGGCCGAACCATAATACTCCTAAACCCGAACCTCTACTATCCCTAAACCCTAAACCTTAGACCCTAAACCCTGAATTCCGAACCTCTAGAGTACTAGACCCAGGAGTAACCTAGGAAGAAAAAGGGTACCCTTTGAAGGGGATTATAAGGCAACCTGCACCACAAAAAAAGGGAATAAGGGCCTACTCCGGGTCCTAGACAATAGTAGCCCCGAATTTGCAGGTTTAAGGAGACCCTAACCCTAAATCCTAAACAACCCTAAACCCTAGACCCTAGACCCTAAACCCTAAGTCCTTTATCATTGAGGGGTTGGAGACATCTGGGGTCATGTGGGGTGCGGGGTGAGGTGGGGGTTCTGGGGCGGCTTTTGCTTATGCAAGCCTGTATTGCTTTAGGGCTTTTGAGGGCTTACAATTTAGGCGGAAAGGTTTGTTCAGTGAGCACTCACGGTTGCAAGGTTTATACAGCCTTAAGATTTTGTTTTGCGTGGTTTAGGTTCAAGCGGCTAGGAACCCCCCCTGAACATTAAACCTCAAATCCTGAAACCTAAACCTCAATTCCTACACCCTCATCCCTAAACCCTGAACCCCAGAACCCCAAACCTCCGATGATAGTGGGTGCCCCACGAAGCCTCGTCCGCAACGGGGGAATCACGTCCATGGCGCTCGCAAGCGTGCCACCTAGAGGATTAGCTATTCTAAGCCCTTTGGGTTTAGGGCTTAGGGTCCCTTAACTCTAAACCCTAAACCCTAAACGCGAAACCCTAAAGGTTCAGGGTTCCGTTCTGAACCCTTTTGGTTTACGGCTTAGGGTTTAGAGGGTTGAGGGTTTAAGGTTCAGGGTTCCGTTCTAAACCCTTTTGGTCTAGTAGGGCTTAGGGTCGAGAGGGTTGAGGGTTTAAGGTTCAGGGTTCAGGGTTTTAGGGCTTATGTTAGGAGGGTTTAAGGTTCAGGGTTCAGGTTTTCAGGGGCTTAGGAGTTCAGGGGGTTTAGGGTTCAGGGTCGAGGGATACCGATGACTGCATGTTCCTCGCAGGTACAAGGGACCTCCTAAGTGGCTTTTGCCTGGGTTTGGAGCTTGTGCGGGGGTAGGGGAATCGGGGTTTGGGGGCTTGGGGTTTTGGGTTTAGCTTTGCTTCTGTTGCTGTCCGCACTTGCACGCCGCTGCCTCTTAAGTTGTACTATGTTCTACTTATAACTGGGTTATGAAGTCCCTGAACCAAAAGGCCCTAAACTCTAACCCCTCAGCCACGAACCCCGTCTCTGGTTTCATCACGGGCTTCGGAATCAAGCATATATCTATAATGTGTGTATATATATATATATACACAGAAAACCCTAAGCCCTAGACCCTAAACCTAAACCAACGCCACGCAAGAAGAGGGCCTTACGAGGACTCGGCTCGAGCCCTTTTCAGAGAGAGGGTTTAGGGTGTAGAGTTTAGGGTTTAGGGTTTAGTTTAGGGTTTAGGGTTCATAGGGTTTAGGGTTTAGGGTTCAGGGTTCAGGGTTCAGGGTTCAGGGCTTCGGGTTTAGGGTCTAGGGTTTCGGGGTCGAAACATCAAAGATGATTCGCTCAGATCGTATGCCCCAGCCGAGCCCGAAACTGCAACAGAACCGTCCCTAGCGATCCCTAACCCTGGGCATAATCTTTGCACCCACTTCGTCGCAACAGTGTCAGTCCGGGCACCCGCACCTGCATTGCAATGTAAGGCTACTGCAAGGCTTATGCTGTTTTAGCTGACCCCCCTGTGCGCACAATATTGGTGGTGCGAAGTGGTTCGAGCGCGCACGCGCTCTGGGTGTTAGGACAATTTATATAAGTGTGCCTGGCACGCGGATGCTTGGCAAGACTGCAGGGCAGAGGGTCCTTGACGACGAACGCAGGAACGAAGGGACGGACGGACGGACGAACGCCCTAAACCCAAAACTCTACACCCTAAACCCTAAACCCTAAACCCTAAACCCTAAACCCTAAACCCGCAACCGGCCCCCCCAAAAAGCCCTCAAACCCCTTTTTTTCAGAAGCTCTTGCACGGCATCCTAATGGTCATCTCAGTCGGACTCATCCTCTCCATCCATGTCGTCCATGTGCCCCAGAAGCCCCGCCACAAAGCCTGGCATGTCCTTTGTAGCCCAGTATAACCGTCTGATGATAATCAAGGGTACCCTGTTTGGGGGCTAGCTACCAAAGGGAACCTTGAACCAAAAAAAAAAGGGGTTCCACCGGGCTACCAAGAATCTATTCGGAATGCCACGCCGTTAGGGTACTGCTCCGCTCGAGCCCTCACTGCTTCTTGGTGCTTGCGAAGCAAGCGCCTGGCTTCCTGGCAGCCAGGGTCCTTCCTCAACCAGTGTTCGAGCGCGGTGCACAGAGCGTCGGTGACGCTGGGGCTGTCGTCCGACTTGCGGCTAGCGAGCGCGCGCAGGGCGTCCGGGTCGCCGGCCATGCATGACAGGGCCTCGATCGCGCGGATCCGGGTGGCCTCGTTCAGGCCATGAGTGAAGTCACGGAGCAGGCCTACGAGAGCTGGCCGGCGCGAAGGACGGCTGCGAGTCACGGCCCCAGCCAGCATCGCGAGCGCGGAGCCGCAGCGCCCTTCGTGTTCAGGGTCCTTGCTCTTGGGATACTGGGCTTGAGGCAGCGGGGTTCCCTCACAGCACTGACCTGTCTGATCATTTCGATAATAGCTCAGCCCTGCCCGAGCTTCTTTGATCACCTCCGCCCACTCCGGCGGAAGATGCAGCCGCGAATCTCGCCGCCGGATCATACCAAAATCCTCCAGCGTGGCAACGCCACAGCAGGCCACGGTGACAGTGAAGGGCTTGTCTCCCAAGCGGCAGGCTCGCAGATACCTTGCGGAACACAATGATCCCCAAAGGGACTCATGGTTCACATACCCTCGTAGATTGGGATCTTCCCCCTTATACTAACAGTCCTTACTCGCGATTATATATATATATAGTTCGAGTATGATTCCCATAAGGGACTGTTAGTAAAGGGGCACATCCCAATTAACAGGGATTATAGTAGTACAAGGTTTACGATCCCAACCTACGAATTGCTTAAGACCCCCCCCAAAAAAAAAAACACAAAAAAAGAAAACTAAACCCTAAACCCTAAACCTATGAACCCTATGAACCCGAAAGTTGCTACGAACTGCCAAAGAACCCCACAAAAAAGAACAGCATTTTTGCTGAAAAGGGCCATATAAGGGTTTTTCCCCACCCTCGGTGTGGGGTTGTTAGATTTTAAACTCAACTCTTCTCCTCGCCCGGAACTCTTCTCCTCGCCCAGTCTACTCCTCGCTCATCCCTGGAGTGCCCAACCCCAAAGTGTCCCTGAAATCCCCAACTCTAGAGTGTTCTTGGAGTCTCCCTGGAGTGCCCAACCCCAGAGTCTCCCTGGAGTGCCCAACCCCAGAGTGTCTCCGGAGTGCCCAACCCCGGAGTTTTGCTGGAGTCCCAAGACGGAGTGCCCAACCCCATAGTCTCCCTGGAGTGCCCAATCCCAGAGTGTCCCGAGTGCCCAGCCGGCCCAGATTCTCCCTGGAGTGCCCAATTCCGGAGTCTGCCTGGAATGCCTGACCCCTATACAGAGTGCCCAACGTCTCCCTGGAGTACCCAATGCCCAGCCCCAGAGTCGGGCCCCAACCCCAGAATATCTCTACCAAGAGAGGGTGGGGATGTTCGAAGTAAATTAGCTGTTATTTTCATTCAGGGTTTAGGGTTTAGGGTTTAGGGTTTAGGGTTTAGGGTTTAGGGTTTAGGGTTTAGGGTTTAGGGTTTAGGGTTTAGGGTTTAGGGTTTAGGGTTTAGGGTTTAGGATTTAGGGTTTAAAGTTTAGGGTTTAGGGTTTAGGGTTCATGTGGTCTCCGAGGTACTCCGGGCACCTTTCGAAAGACTGGCCGTTGACAGCGATGACTTGCCAGGATGCCAGGATGCCAAATTCTTCTGCTTGGCTGCCGCTGACGACCTGGCGCCACTGCCGTCCGCAAAAACCCTGTGTGTCCCTATCAAAGTTAGGGTTTGGGTTTGGGTTTAGGGTTTAGGGTTTAGGGGTTTAGGGTTTAGGGTTTAGGGTTAAGGGTTTAGGCTTAAGGGTTTAGGGTTTAGGGTTTAGGGTTTAGGGTTTAGGGTTTAGGGTTTAGGGTTTAGGGTTCAGGGTTTAGGCTTTTTGCTCTAGAGTCTAGAGTGAATACAGTTAAACCTTGCCAAGTCTGTGACTTCTTGGCTTTTTTGGCGACAACTCCGCCCCCAAACCCTAGAGGCCTAAACCCTAAACCCTAAACCCTAAACCCTAAACCCTAAACCCTAAACCCTAAACCCTAAACCCTAAACCCTAAACCCTAAACCCTAAACCTCGAAATCACAAGACCGCATCCGAAGGGGCCTATCAGAAGCTAAAATGGCGGGTGGAGAGGGTTACTTGACCCCAACAATATAAGGGCAATTCGTAGGGTTTAGGGTTTAGTGCAGAGTGTTTAGGGTTTAGGGTTTAGGGCTTAATGGCTTAGTGCTACTCCTAGCATTCCCCTACTTCCCCACGGGGATCCCAATAGGTGCAGGAACTAGGTACCCCAAATCGTACAAAATAGTGCTTCATGGATGGCGAATTCCAAACCCTAAACCCTAAACCCTGAACCCTGAACCCTAAACCCTAAACCCTAAACCCTAAACCCTAAACTTCCCACCTTTGAGATGAAACCGTACTCCGTGAGATGCATGCCGATGGACTCCGGCGGGCCTTGGGTCGTCGAGCACGGTTTAGGGTTTAGGGTTTAGGGTTCAGGGTTCAGGGTCTAGGGTTCAGGGTTCAGGGTTCAGGGTTTAGGGTTTAGGGTTTAGGGTTTAGGGTTCTGAGTTTAGGGTTCTAAGTTTAAGTTCTTCTGTGGGGTTTAGGGTTCAGGGTGGTGTCTGGCTCAACCAAGGGCTCAGGATTGTAGGGTTCGGAGCGATTGGAGGAGTGAGGCGAAGAGCAGAGAAACGGGATGCTGGTGACATTGTTCAACAGCTCAGGTGGGCAACATTTCAGAGGATGTAGGGTTTAGGGTTTAGGGTTTAGGGTTTAGGGTTTAGGGTTTAGGGTTTAGGGTTTAGGGTTTAGGGTACAACTCCTTGCCTCCGGCCCGGAAGACGTAGCTTCGCTCAGTGCCCATGGCTTTGATCTCGCCTGGGAAGTCTGCAGACACCTCAAGTTGGCAAGGGTCCCATCTGACATGTGCGAAGAGGGATTTAGGGTTTAGGGTTCAGGGTTTAGGGTTTAGGGTTTAGGGTTTAGGGTTAACAGGGATTGTAGTAGCATAGGGTAGTGTAGGGTAGCCTTCAGGACCAAGATGAAACGCCAAAAGGGTTTAAGGCTTGTATAGGGGTACCTTGTTCCGGTCCTTATCATAACGGAGTCCTACCATTTGCAGATCACTATTGGGGGTCCCTATTTTCGTAAACCCCCACATATAAACCCTAAACCCTAAACCCTAAACCCTAAACCCTAAACCCTAAACCCTAAACCCTAAACCCTTTGATCCCGAACTTGATGCATGCGGTCCCCAAGGTGGGGTTCTTGAAAAAAAGCAGCCACCTGCGCTGTGGAGCGCCTCCAATAACCTTGGGCACGAAAGGAGCCCTAAAAGGGTTTATGGCTCATATACCTTAATAGGAAGTATAGTAGTAGAGGGTATATGACCCTCCAATTTTAGGGTTCATTGGGTTTAGGGTTCATATACCTTAATAGGAAGTATAGTAGTAGAGGGTATATGACCCTCCAATTTTAGGGTTCATTGGGTTTAGGGTTCATATACCTTAATAGGAAGTATAGTAGTAGAGGGTATATGACCCTCCAATTTTAGGGTTCATTGGGTTTAGGGTTCATATACCTTAATAGGAAGTATAGTAGTAGAGGGTATATGACCCTCCAATTTTAGGGTTCATTGGGCTTAGGGTTCATATACCTTAATAGGAAGTATAGTAGTAGAGGGTATATGACCCTCCAATTTTAGGGCTCATTGGGTTTATGGTTCATATACCTTAATAGGAAGTATAGTGGTAGAGGGTAAATGACCCTCCAATTTTAGGGTTCATTGGGTTTAGGGTTCATATACCTTAATAGGAAGTATAGTAGTAGAGGGTATATGACCCTCCAATTTTAGGGCTCATTGGGTTTATGGTTCATATACCTTAATAGGAAGTATAGTAGTAGAGGGTATATGACCCTCCAATTTTAGGGTTCATTGGGTTTATGGTTCATATACCTTAATAGGAAGTATAGTAGTAGAGGGTATATGACCCTCCAATTTTAGGGTTCATTGGGTTTATGGTTCATATGCCTTAATAGGAAGTATAGTAGTAGAGGGTATATGACCCTCCAATTTTAGGGTTCATTTGGTCCCCCAAGGAACACGGAGATTTGTTCGCCGCGAACCAGCCCAACTCCCAGCCGCTGGGAGGGTATCGCAATGTTTGTACCGACTCTTCGTTGCCCGCCTCGTCCGTCCACCTGCACCCGCCCAGTTGGACGACGATGTGGGCCGCAACCTCATTTGCAAAGGCCAGGTCGTAGAAAACCTGCTCCCCACAGTCGCCACATTGATCCGTGATCGTTCCCATGCACCAGACCAGGGACCACGGCTCCCTTTCTTGACTCTCTGCTTGCTCCTCCAGCCCAGTTACCTGCAGCACCATCTGGTGAATGACCGCGGCAAGGCTCTCAGTGTCCAACTTCCGCAGAGGTTGGAGTTCAGCTCGCGTTGCGAGGAGGCGGCAGCGGTTCTGCGAATCGCACACGCTGCGAACGTGCCGCTCCATGGCCTCGTCGCAGCCCATGGCCTAGGACCAGGAGTAACCTAGGAATAAAAAGGGTGCCCTTTTTGGTGTTAAGGGAACCCTAAACCCTAAACCCTAAACCTTAAACCCTAAACCCTAAACCCTAAACTCTAAACCCTAAACCCTAAACCCTAAACCCTAAACCGAGGTCCTAGTTGCAGGAGTTTTCCCAAGCTGCCGGAGTCGGCACATATCCAAAAGGTCCAGAAATAAGGGGCCATGGCTGTAGAGGCAGCGCAGCACGTCTACAAAAGCCATCCCTCCTCGCCTCTCCGTATCATGCAAGAGGTAGGGTTTAGGGTTTAGGGTTTAGGGCTTAGGGTTTGGGGCTTGGGGCTTGGGGCTTGGGGCTTGGGGCTTGGGGCTTAGGGCTTAGGGCTTAGGGCTTAGGGCTTAGGGCTTAGGGCTTAACTCTTCCGCCTTCTGTTGCTGTTGAAAGAACCTTTCAAGTCTAGCACATGCAGAATCGCATCCAGGCAGGCGCTCGACTCGGCATGGCGCGATCGGATGACCAAGGCTGTTTTTAGGGTATTTGGGTTTAGGGTTTAGGGTTTAGGGTTTAGGGTTTAGGGTTTAGGGTTTAGGGTTTAGGGTTTAGGGTTTCACAGGCTTACATACGCACTGTAGAAGCGTAGACGCATGTGGGTGGCTGTCAAAATTATGATCCCTTTTTGGGTACCCTAATTATTAGGCGCCGTATTAGAATAGGGATCCAAAAAGGGACCATAATTTTGACAACCGCCCATGTGGGGAAAGCTGGTCACCTGAAGCTGTGCGGTGCCCCCTGCGACGTCCAGCCTCCCGGGTCTCGGCAATCGCCCAGGCGTGCCGACAACACCCAGTCCTAGGAAGGTGGCACTTAGACCCTGAAATCGCAAGCTTTGGGCTTAGGGTAGTCTAGGGTTTAGGGCTTGGGGTTTAGGGTTTAGGGTTTAGGGTTTGGGGTTTAGGGTTTAGGGTTTAGGGTTTAGGGTTTAGGGTTTAGGCTAAACCCTCAGCCACCAAGCCCCCGACACCCAAATGTAGGGTCCTACCGTCGGGGAAGGTGGGAGCCCTGGGCTTCGAAGGGCCGTCTCTGAAACTAGGGTTTAGGGTTTAGGGTTTAGGGTTTAGGGTTTAGGGTTTAGGGTTTAGGGTTTAGGGTTTAGGGTTTAGGGTCTATGGCTTAGGGTTTAGGCACAGTCCAGCTCCTAGAATGCGCATCGCAAAACATGGTGAAGCGTCATGCAACAACTTGACGCAATATGAGCCAACGTACATGATAATATATGTATATATATATATGTTAATATGTATACATACCTACATACATACATACATGCATACATACATACACTGATACATAAATCTCTATGTACAAATTAAAAACACACACACACACACACACACACACACACACACACACACACACACACACACACACACACACACACACCACACACACACACCACACACACACACCACACACACACACACACACACACACACACACACACACACACACACACACACACACACCCACACCCACCCCACCCACCCACCCACCCACCCCCACCCACCCACCCACCCACCCACCCACACCACACACCCACCACCCACACCCACACCACACCACACACACCCCCACCACCCCACCCACCCACCCACCCACCCACCCACACCCCACCCACACCCACACCACCCACCCACTACCCCCCACGCCCCACCAACACACCCACCCACCCACACCACACCACACACACACACACACACACACATACACACACACACACACACACACAGAGAGACACACACAGAGACAGACAGACAGACAGCCAGACAGCCAGACAGACAGACAGACAGACCCACGCCCGCACGCCCGCACGCACGCACGCACCTGCACGCACGCACACGAACGCACGCGAACGCACGCACACGAACGCACGCACACGAACGCACGCACACGAACGCACGCACACGAACGCACGCACACGAACGCACGCACACGAACGCACGCACACGAACGCACGTACACGAACGCACGCACACCCGCACACGCACACGCACACGCACACGCACAGAGAGAGAGAGAGAGATACATACATACATACATACATACATACATACATACATACATACATACATACATACATACATACATACATACATACATACATACATACATACATACATACATACATACATACATACATACATACATACATACATACATACATACATACATACATACATACATACATACATACATACATACATACATACATACATACATACATACATACAGACAGACAGACAGACAGACAGACAGACAGACAGACAGACAGACAGACATACACACACACACACCATGTATGTATGTATGCATGTATGTATGAACATGCTTGACCACAATCTAAGGGTAGCTACATGGTGCGTTCATACTTCAGATAAAGGGCTCTGAAGTATGGGCCCTTTGGGCTCTACAGGGGATACAACGTGGAAACACGGTTTCCCCCGTTACGGTTCCACATTAAGGGACCATGTAACTGCACTTTGACACAAGAAATCAGGGTTCCCTTATCCTTCGATGTAATCTGGGGGGTGGTTTTGGCGGCGCTTTAAAGATTTTTAAGCTTCTGCTGGTTTTAAGAGGGTTGCAACCTAAACCCTAAACTCTAAGCCCTAAACCCTACACCCTACACCCTACACTACTATTAGGTAGGGGGCCTTAGAAGTGCACTAATCCAGATCAACACAGCAACTTTCCTAAAGGGCAGCCTAAGCCCAAAACCCCATTACCCGAACACCGAACATAAACCCTGACCTGGTAATTCTTTGAAGGTACCCTCAACCCAAACCCCGAAAACACCCAACAAACTCCAAACCCATCTTTTCAACCCCAAACCCACAACCCTAAACCCGAAACCCGAAACCCTAAACCCCAAACCCCAAACCCCTCCATCCTCCGGAAGCACCACTCGTGGGCGCCATGAGATCTCAGCGCCTGCAGGGGGGTTCCGGACTGCAGGGTTCAGGGCTTAAGGCTTGGGGCGTGGGGGTTTAGGGTTTAGGGTTTGGGGTTTAGGGTTTGGGGTTTAGGGTTTGGGGTTTGGGGTTTGCGGTTTGGGGTTTGGGGTTTGGGGTTTGGGGTTTAGGGTTTAGGGTTTAGGGTTTGCTCTCTGCTAAACAAACTTGGAATCCAGTAGAGGGTCGTTTCAGGCAAGTGCCATGTTTGTTTTCCGCGTGCAGGCTTCCAGCTTCTCGGCTTGCTGGGGCAAGCCGAAATGGCAAAGGGAACATAGAATCTGAATGTCACAGGGAATGGTGCCATGTTAGGGTTTTCCAAAGAGCCCTGGACGTGTCCTGCGTATATCAAGCGTGTTCCATGTTAGTCAGCCTGCCCCTGGGAGGGCCCAACCTTCGAGCGTGTTCCATGTTAGTCAGCCTGCCGCTGGGAGGGCCCGAAGCAAGTTCTGTGTACTAACATGGAACCTTCCAAGGCCGTACATACACCGGGGACCACTAATGTGGAACCAACGAATTCAGTTCATATTACATCCTCAACTTAAAATTGCAGAATATGTGCGACAAGCAAGACTAACAAGGAAGCTGCAAATTCCTGGGTTTGGCTTGTTGACTCTTCGAAGCCCACCGAAAGCAAACTAACATAGAACTTCGGCCAAAATCAACTTGCTCCCAAAACCTCCCCAATTCAATATTAACATGGAACCTGCCTCAAATTCGCAATGCGGTTCGGTCTGGGGTGCAACCTGAGACAGCTTTTGAGGGAGTGGTCTAACATAGAACCCACAATGCATAAACTCTTTCCAGCCGTGCGCGTGCTGGACTTGAGTGAAGGCATCAACTTTCCGAAAGTGCACACGTATGAGTGGGGACCGCTTGCTGCAAAACAGCTGAACTGAAGAAATCAAAATTCTGCGCTACAGCTTCCACGTTCGCAGTGTATTTGATGCATCCGCATGCCCCTGCACACAGCGCTGTGTGCTGTGACACTCTACAGCAGTGCCAGCTGCACAGCATTGCGAGCTGCACAGTCCTTAGAAGGCCAGTTCATCCAGCCTTTGGCGCAAGTGAGTCACGTGTTCTCTGCCTGTCACAGCTTCAATCTCCATGTCGCAATAGGAATCCCAGAGAGCCTGATTCAGCACTTGTCCGACCAAGATCAAGCAACCACGAGATTCGGTGCGTTACAAAGCTGCGACTGTGGAGCCAAGCAACTACCAAAACAAGAAGCTATGCTTTCCGCTCAAAGTAATGCCCACGATCTTGATCCACACTGCGCTCGGAGCGGAAGGAATAGCTTCTTGTTTTGGTAGTTGCTTGGCTCCACATTCGCAATTTTGTAAGAGCTGAGCGCGTTTCGCATCGAATCCCGTGGTTACTGTATCTTGGTCGGACAAGTGCTGAATCAGGCTCTCTGGGATTCCTATTGCGACATGGAGATTGAAGCTGTGACAGGCAGAGAACACGTGACTCACTTGCGCCAAAGGCTGGATGAACTGGCCTTCTAAGGACTGTGCAGCTCGCAATGCTGTGCAGCTGGCACTGCTGTAGAGTGTCACAGCACACAGCGCTGTGTGCAGGGGCATGCGGATGCATCAAATACACTGCGAACGTGGAAGCTGTAGCGCAGAATTTTGATTTCTTCAGTTCAGCTGTTTTGCAGCAAGCAGTCCCCACTCATACGTGTGCACTTCCGGAAAGTTGATGCCTTCACTCAAGTCCAGCACGCGCACGGCTGGAAAGAGTTTATGCGATGTGGGTTCTATGTTAGACCACTCCCTCAAAAGCTGTCTCAGGCTGCACCCCAGACCGAACCGCATTGCGAATTTGAGACAGGTTCCATGTTAATATTGAATTGGGGAGGTTTTGGGAGCAAGTTGATTTTGGCAGAAGTTCTATGTTAGTCGGTTTGCGGCGGGTTCGAAGAGTCAACAAGTCAAACCCAGGAGTTTTTGGGAGCCTTAACGTGGAACTTATTTGCTTGGTTGAGGAATTCTTTTCTATTTTCAGATTCCATGTTAGACTTGTTTGTCGAATATATTTTGCAGTTGAAGTTCAGGATGTAATGTGAACTGAGGTCTTTAGTTCCATGTTAATTGTCAGAAGTGAATGCTTGGACTTGGTAGGTTCCATGTTGGTCTTACACATTTTTGTTTCCAGTTCCATGTTTTTGCAGCAGAGTGTAGGGTTTAGGGTTGGGCACACGGACCAGGGTGTGAAACACCCCGGTCTGCGCGCAGGCGTCGCTTCACCCGGCAACCCTCACGATACTCTATATTCGGGTTTAGGGTTTAGGGTTTAGGGTCCAGGGTCTAGGGTTTAGGGTTTAGTGTTTGGTGTTTAGGCTTCGGGTTTATGTAGTTGGTTTTCTTCGCCCATCGGTCATAGCGTTCTGGGCCTGTCGCTCGACGGAAGCGACCCTTCTCGTTGGGGCTTAGGGTTTTAGGGTTAAGGGTTTGGGGGGGTTTAGGGTTTAGGATCTGGCGCCACTGCTGTCCACAAGACTCTGTGTGTCCCTATCAAAGTTAGGGTTTAGGGTTCAGGGTTTAGGGTTCAGGCTTTGGGGTGTGTGGGTAACCCTAAACCCTAAACCCTAAACCCTAAACCCTAAACCCTAAACCCTAAACCCTAAACCCTAAACCCTAAACCCTAAACCCTAAACCCTAAACCCTAAACCCTAAATGGGGTTTAGGGTTTCAGGAGGCCTCGCCTCAGCTTTTTCACTGCCACGCAGCTGAGCGCCAGCTGCGGCCGCTCCGCTCGCTGCTTCCGCGGCCATAGGCCACCTGCACGGCTTCTTTTGGGACTTTAGGGCCTTCCAGGGTTGAGGGTTTAGGGTTTGGGGTTTAGGGTTTGGGGTTTAGGGTTAGGGGTTTAGGGTTTAGGGTTTAGGGTTTAGGGTTTAGGGTTTAGGGTTTAGGGTTTAGGGTTTAGGTTTTAGGGTTTAGGGTTTAGGGTTTAGGGTTTAGGGTTTAGGGTTTAGGGTTTAGGGTTAGGGTTTAGGGTTTAGGGTTTAGGGTTTAGGGTTTAGGGTTTAGGGTTTAGGGTTTAGGGTTTAGGGTTTAGGGTTTAGGGTTTATGGGTTTAGGGTTTAGGGTTTAGGGTTTAGGGTTTAGGGTTTAGGGTTTAGGGTTTAGGGTTTAGGGTTTAGGGTTTAGGGTTTAGGGTTTAGGGTTTAGGGTTTAGGGTTTGGGGCCATAGACCCCCTCCACGGCTTCTTTTCGGCTTACTTGGAGGTTCAGGGTACTGAATAACCCAATTATAACAGTACCCCACTGAATGAGGGTTTAGGGTTTAGGGTTTGGGGTCTAGAGTTTGAGGCTTAAGGTTTGGGGTTTGGGGTTTGAGGTTTGGGGTTTAGGGTTTAGGGTTTCGGGTTTGGAGCTTAGGGTTTAAGATTTAGGGTTTAAGGTCTGGAGTTTGGGGTTTAGGGTTCTTGGCTGCTCGACACCCGGCTGAGAAGTGGCTTCGGCTTCCTTGTTTTGAAGCCCGATAAGCCCCCTTGTTTTGGGGGGGGGGGGGGGGGGGTTGTGTCGGGCCAGGAGCCACAGACTGAGGGGTTTTGGCTCGCAAGCCTACAGTCTGCTTGGAGGTTCATGGTCATTGCTAACCCCTAAACCCTAGACCCTAAGCCCGAAACCTTAAACCCTACTTGGAGTTTCATGGTGTTTTTTCACCCAAGTATGGCTGTGCTTATAACTGGGTTATAACCGCAACGGGGTACTTAAGAGGCTTATAAGTGGGTTAAAACAATACAGTGGTAAGTGGGTGAATAAGTACCCTAAGCCCGATACCCTAAACCCTAAACCCCTCCAAGTAAGAAGGCAAGCAAGCCCCGAATCCGAACCCCCTAAGCCCTAAACCCCGACCCTAAACCCTGAACCCCAAACCACAAACCCCAAACCCTACACCCTAAACCCTAAACCCTAAACCCTACGCCTCCTGCAGCATCTCCTTGGCGACGTCGATCTGCTGCGTGGTGCCCTCGAGGCTCACCGAGGCCATACCTGACTCAGGAGACAGGGGTTTAGGGTTTAGAGTTTAGGGTTTAGGGTTTAGGGTTTGGGGTTTAGGGTTTAGGGATTAGGGTTTAGGGTTTCGGGTTTAGGGTTTAGGGTTTAGGGTTTAGGGTTTCGGGTTTAGGGTTTAGGGTTTAGGGTTTAGCCTTTGGGGTTGTAGGGTTTCAGGGCGTTAGGACTTTTAGGTTTAGGGCTTGGCGTTTAGGGCTTTTCGGCAAAGACTGGTCTTTGAACTCGAAGGGAACCAGAGCAAAACCAGATTGCTGCCCAACCCCACCCCTAAAACTCAAAAAGACCCCCGCCCTTCACTCCAAACCCTGAATCTGAGTCCTAAACCCTAAACCCTAAACCCTAAACCCTAAACCCTAAACCCTAAACCCTAAACCCTAAACCCTAAACCCTAAACCCTAAACTCCAGCCTGCGGGCGTGGTCTCACCCACCTGGATGCGCGCCCCGCTCTCCTGCCAAAGAGGGCTTTGGGCGCGGGTTTAGGGTTTAGGGTTTAGGGTTTAGGGTTTAGGGTTTAGGGTTTAGGGTTTAGGGTTTAGGGTTTAGGGTTTAGGGTTTAGGGTTTAGGGTTCAGGGTTTAGGGTTCAGGGGTCAGGGTTTAGGGTTTAGGGTTTAGGGTTTAGGGTTTAGGGTTTAGGGTTTAGGGTTTAGCGCTTCGGGTTTAGGGTTTAAGGTTTTGGGCTGAGGGATGTTTAGGGTGTTTGGGTTAATCATAATCAGCGAATAAACCCGCGTAACCAGAACATTCAGAAGTAACTACCGGAAAATAATCATCAGAATGATCATGAACCCCCAAAAAAGAAAACTAGATTGCCAAAACTTGGCATCATACCTATTCACTTAAGAACCCCCCACAAGCAAAAGAGATCATCCCACAGAAGAATCTCTTCATTGTTGGGGGGAGTTCTTAAGTAGTAGATACCCTCAACACTAAACCCTAAACCCTGTGCGCCACCCTGAGAATGGGCAAGATCCCATCTCTGTGGCCAGGGTGCCATACAGTCTCTGGGGTTTTTTGGGACTAAGGTTCAGGGGTTCGGGAAAAGGGTCTGCTTGGAGGTTCGTGGTGCTTGACAACCTATAAGTAGTCATAACACACTTATCGCCCCGTAATTACCCAAATCTGGTTCTAATTCGGTTATAGGTGCAATTACTATCTGGTCAGTAAGTACCACGAACCTCCAAGTAAACCCCTGAACCCTGAACCCTGAACCCTGAACCCTGAACCCTGAACCCTGAACCCTGAACCCTGAACCCTGAACCCTGAACCCCCTGAACCCTAAACCCTAAACCCTAAACCCTAAACCTAAACCCCAAACCCCCAAACCTAAACCCAAAACTAATTCCTAAACCCTAAACCCTAAACCCTAAACCCTAAACCCTAAACCCTAAACCCTAAACCCTAAACTAAACCCTAAACCCTAAACCCTAAACCCTAAACCCTAAACCCTAAACCCTAAACCCTAAACCCTAAACCCTAAACCCTAAACCCTAAACCCTAAACCCTAAACCCTAAACCCTAAACCCTAAACCCTACCCTAAAAAGGTTTAGGGTTTAGGGCTTAGGGTTTCGATTGGTTGGCCAAAGCTGGGGGCAACCCGCAGCACGGCCTTCCCTCCCATGGCTTTGTAGACAACTTGCTCGATTCAGGGCGATTCGCGTTTAGGGTTTAGGGATTATATAGGGTTTAGGGTTTAGGGTCCGCCGACCCTGGCGGCGTGTTGGATGGAAAAAGGAGGTGAAAACCTCCCTCTTTCACTCCAAAACGCGGGAGGGGGGGGGGGGGTGAAACCTCCCTCTTTCCCTCCTTACCCCCCCAAAACGCAGGGGGGGGGGGGGGGGGGGGGGGGGGGGGGGGGGGGGGGGGGTAACCGGGCAGCTTTGAAACCCCCCCCCCCTACCCTTTCCCCCGCCCCCCCCACCCCCCCCCCACCGCTTCAGCTCCTGTTTGGGTCCTGGTGCTGCCCCCTACCCCCACCCCCCCAACGTTTCACAGAGGCTCAAGCAAATCAACTTTTGGCATCCTTTGAGCTGACGAGCGCGTTTAAACCTTTCAACTATGCTCCAGCGGGGTCGGCGGCTTGAGCCGGAGGCTCTTAAATCGGGCAACGCCCCTCTGTGTGCCCGCTAGGGCGGAAGCCCTTGCTTTAGCAATGGGATGGGCATGCAGGGCCGCCGACCCGCCCTTGGAGAGCATCATTGGGACCTCCGCGGCCTCCCGAGGCCCTTCCGGACCGACCGGAGCGGGGCAGGGATGCGAGAGCACCTTCAAAAGCACTCCAAAGCAGGAAACGCCGCCCATACCGATGATTTTGAGCTGTTTGTCGACCTGGACAAGGGTGCTTTTGGGGGGGCCCGGCGAGCATCATGAGCATCAGCGGCGTCGCCATTTCGGGACAAGGGCTCCAAATCCCGCCTCGGCAGGGATAGCGTTCTTGCATGATTTTCATGCCCCTTGCAAAGGGTGACGATGGCCTTAAGGAGGAGAAGTGGGGACCCAATGATGCTCATATGCTGGGGGGGGGGGCCGGGGGGCTTGGGGACCCAATGATGCTCATGATGCTGGGGGGGGGGTCCGGCTTAGAGGGCGAGGAACGGAGGCAGCGATGCTCGTGAGGCCTATGTCGTTGGCGGCTTGTGGGTTTTTTGTCCAGCTTGTGCGGCCGTGTGTGCGGCTCGCCGCGCGCGCGCGCGCGCCGCTTCTGGATAGCCTTGCCGGCGCGCGCGCCCACTGCGTGCTTGGCGTTTCCTTTTGGTCGGCAACGCACTTCTTCCTTCGGGGCAAACCCTACACCCTAAACCCCAACACTGTCCATCTCTCCTGCGAGCCCCCGCCCGCCGTCCACGAAACCTCGGGGGGTTGCCCGCCTTTGGGCGTAGCCCCTTAGAATTTAGGGTTTAGGGTTTAGGGCTTCGGGTTTAGGGTTTAGGGTTTGGGGCTTGGGGTTTAGTCGTGTGCCTTAAACAAGGGTACCACTTCGGGAAATCCCAGCCTCCTGCAGCCACCGAATGGTGGAGCCACCTGGCAAGGTGTCAGCAGAGCTTTAAGGGCGTGTGATAGGGTTTAGACTCTACGGTTACAGCTTCCGTTGCAGTTCCGGCTCCGTTACAGCTCCGTTACAGCTCCGTTACAGCTCCATTACAGCTCCGCTCAGTTGTACAGCTCCGTTACAGTTCCGTTACAGGTCCGTTATCAAGTTGCTGCTTCTGCTACGGGTCCGTTACAGCTTCCGTTACAGCATCGGTACAGCCGTAGCGCTCCGTTGCAGTCTTCCGATACGGCTCCGTTACAGCTCCGCGACAAATCCGTTACAGCCTCTACCATCATTTGCGGGCCTCTACTATGACAGAAATGCTCGCCGGTAACGGGGCTTGTAACAGAAACTGTAACGGAAATGAGCGGACCCCGCCCCAAGTTTAGAGCCCTAAACTCTAAACCCTAAACCCTAAACCCTAAACCCTAAACCCTAAACCCTAAACCCTAAACCCTAAACCCTAAACCCTAAACCCTAAACCCTAAACCCTAACCTTTGGGGTTTAGGGCTAAGGGTTTGGGGCAGCTAGTAGTAATAGCCCTAAACCCTAAACCCTAAACCCTAAACCCTAAACCCTAAACCCTAAACCCTAAACCCTAAACCCTAAACCCTAAACCCTAAACCCTAAACCCTAAACCGTAACCCTAAACCCTAAACCCTAAACCCCTAAACCCTAAACCCTAAACCCTAAACCCTAAACCCTAAACCCTAAACCCTAAACCCTAAACCCTAAACCCTAAACTTAACCCTAACTCTGGGTCCTAGAAGTTGCTAAGGGTTCGAGTCGCAGGCTGTGTGTGTTGACTCCTAATCGGCCGGCGTTGGCCCTTCCTGAGAAGGAGAGGATAACAAACCTCACCTGGTTGTCAGGATTTAGGGTTTACGGTTTAGGGTGTTTAGGGTTTAGGGTTTAGGGTTTAGGGTTTAGGGTTTAGGGTTTAGGGTTTAGGGTTTACTGGCGAGAGAGCTGACTCGAAATAGCGTCACAGGCTATGCTCGAAGCGAAACTCACCCACAACCCGGGCTGACTTCGCTGTATGTTTTGTTTAGTGTTTATAGGGTTTAGGGTTTAGGGCTTAGGGCTTAGGGCTTAGGGTTTAGGGCTTAGGGCTTAGGGCTGTTTAGGGTTTTAGGGTTGTTCAGGGTTTAGGGTTGTTTAGGGTTTAGGGTTGTTTAGGGTTTAGGGTTGTTTAGGGTTTAGGATTGTTTAGGGTTTAGGGTATAGGGTTTACAGGGCCTTTGCCGATGACCGCCGGGACCGATGCCGACGGAATCGACACTGACAACCTTGGCCGCCGGTAACGAAAGGTTGTCGTGGGTCTTTTTGGCTTCGGGTTTCGGGTTTCGGGTTTAGGGTTCTTGGCTGCATGTTGGCACCTGGCTTAAGGGTTTTTTAGTTAGCTACCTTGTTAAGAAGCCCAGTAAACCCAGAAAGGCTAGCGGCTCAGGATCTCAGGCTACAGCAAAGAGCCACAGAGTAATGGCAGGCCCCTTCCCTATGTTCCTCCGCTAGCACGATGTAGAAGACATAGAGTAGCCATGTTCGTTCTTCACGAGACGGTATTGGCACCAAACTAATTAAGAATGCCCAGCATGTTCAAATCCAAAAATCGTAGATTCATCCTGAGAATGGGGCAAGGAAACATCAAGAGTCATCATGGAAATGCTAGGAAGTCAGAGGAATGCCCGGCAAGAATGCGAAAGGATATCCAGCATGTTCCGACGAGCAAAACCCGTAAACTCTAAACCCTACAGCCCTAAACCCCGAGAAGGATTTTAACCTATCCAGGCCCTAGTTGAAGGTTCATGGGACTTCGTATTCAGTTGCAACTTGGGTGTTCTAAGCCAACTTACAATTAGGGTAATCTCTTCAGTCCAGTGAAGGAGTATAAGCAGGAACACAACCTTGCTCTTGCCAGTGAGTAAAGTCTTTTGACCTAAGGTTTCAGACAGGGCCAAGCAGGTACGAGGCTTGGAGACTCTTCAACTGAAACGCAAAAAATGTAGACCCTAAACCCTCAACACAAAAACTTAGGGGTCCCCTATTTTCGTAAACCCCCTAAACCCTAAACCCCATATCATAAAAAAACGTAGACCCTAAACCCTAAACCCCAAAACTGACCCTAAATACGCTGAATACATCTCCAAGCACCCCGAAGCTCCCAGAACGGCGTGGGAATTCTGGAGGCGCCCTTGAAGCCCGAAGCCCAAAAGGGTTTAGGGTTTAGGGTTTAGGGTTTAGGGTTTCGGGTTTAGGGTTTGGGGTTTAGGGTTTAGGGTTTAGGGTTTAGAGTTTCGAGGCCCGTCAACCCAGCTCCTTTCAATCCCCGGGACTTCCTGGCCGCCTTGGGCTTCGGAGCCGCCTTGACATGATGGCGCAGGTTTAGGGAGTTTAGGAGTCTAGGGTTTAGGGTTTAGGGTTTAGGGTTAAGGGTTTGGGGTTTAGGGTTTAGGGGTTTTTAGGGTTTAGGGGGGGGTTTATTTAGGGTTTAGGGTTTAGGGTTTAGGGTTTAGGGTTTAGGGTTTAGGGTTTAGGGTTTAGGGTTTAGGGTTGAAGGTTCGGGGATCAGGCATTGAGTCCACCAACCGTCAAGGGTTGTAACCCTCTCGCCCATACAAGTTTAGGGTTTGGGATTTGGGGCTTAGGGTTCACCCGAACCCTAAACCCTACACCCCCCATAGGGATCCTGAATATGCCCTCAGGAAAATTCCTTAATTCAGTGGTATTGGGCCCTGTGAGTTGCCCGCCCTCCCAAAGCCCTGAAGACCACCAGAGATTGGGGTTTGGGGTTTGGGGTTTAGGGTTTAGGGGTTAGTGTTTGGGGTTTGGGGAACTTTCTCCCACCCCGCGTCCAAGGCGGCAAAGCCAGCCTAACCTATTCCTTTTAGGGGTTTAAGCCTAAACTCAGGACAACTGCTTACTTCCAAGAAAACGTCTTCCATCACCAATATTTGCTTGCAGCCAAGCCAATGGGAAGGTTCCAGCACGGGGGGGCGGAGAGGCGAGGGTCGGTTTCAGGGTTGCAACAGGGTTCAGGAAGGCCCCAAACGGGTTTCAGGGGGGTTTGACAGGGGCCCCAGGAAGGTCCCAGGAGGGTTCCAGGATCTTAGGGTGTCCTCAGTACCGAACCCATCGTGGTGCTACCTCCGAGCTGTGGGAAGCAGGTCGACTTGCACCATCGAGTTCGAGGGGCTTAGGCGCCGCCCCCCAGCTGTAGAGGTGGCCTAGGTCTTGAGTTTCTCAACCCTAAACCCTACACCCCCTGAACCCTACACCCTCTAAACCCTGAACCCTACCCCAAAACCCCAAACCCCGAAATGCTGGCGCCTTGGCTTCCCAGGCCTTGGCCTTCGGCGCCAGCGGCGCCGCTCGGCTCCGTTCGTCGGAGGGGGCGGCCGCAGGGCCTCCATTTGCTGGGGTCAAGGGGTTTGGGGGTTGGGGTTTGGGGTTTAGGGTTCAGGTTTTAGGGTTTAGGGTTTCGGATTTAGGGTTTAGGGTTTAGGGTTTGGGATTTAGGGCTTACGCCTCAGAGCTTTCTTGGAATGCTAAGGCCTGTTGACACGGGCGTCCCACGCGCAGGATCCACGCGCGCAATGTAGGAGTCAGCTTCCAGCCGCAACCTCGTCTGGGGTTTAGCTGCGGATTCAGGGTTCGGGGCTCAGGGTTTAGGGCTTGAGAGCTTGGGATCCTTTGAACTTTCGGGTTCAGGACTGTGGGTGTTGGAGCATGGGTGCACTCGTCAGCAACTGTTTGCCATGCTTCGGGTCCTTTCAAAACCATCGACTTTGGCCCGCGACAATAACAAACATGAGCGTTTGTCGAACGCGGTCGAGGTGATGAGTTGTGGTTTAAGGTTGGGGTTTGGAGCTTAGGGTTTAGGGCTCAGGGTTGTTCAGGACTTCGGCTTCAGGGCTTGGTGAACCTCAGCGGTTGTCGAACGCGGTCGAGGTGATGGGTTGCCGTTTAAGGTTTGGGGTTGGGAGGCTGATGCTTAGCCACTGCGCCAGCGGGGCTCGTTGGAGCCTCGTTGGAGCCTTTGGAAGGAATTTGTCGGCAACAAAATCTGGTTTAGGAGGGGCTGGATTTTGTCACAAAGTGATAAAGTCTGGGCTTGTTGGAGCCTTTGGAAGGGGTCCAGATTTTGTCATTCGATACAAAATCTGGGGTTGTTTGGGGGGGGGGCGGAGGGAGCTTTAGGGCTGCCATGGGGGTAGGAGGGGGGGCGAATCGGATCAGCACGCACACGAGCCGACAGTTTTCGAGATGCACAACATTGCCGGTTCGACATCACGAGACTTCTTTTCCACTATCCCCACCCCCAATTTCAGCCTGAACCCTAAACCCTAAACCCCCAAACCCTAGAGTTTGGGGTTGAGGGATTGGGCTTTTTGACAATTGCGGCAGGCCGAGCATGAGCGGCTCAGCTCGGGGGGGGGGGGGGGGTTCTATCATCTCCAACGGCTTGGAAAATGAAAGCCACAGGCTCAAAACCTTCAAGTATCTAAGGAACCCAGAGACTCCAATACCCCTTAAGAAGGAATATTCCTTAAACTATCTAAGCAACCCGATTATAATTTAAGGAGTATTCCTTAATCAAGCTGGGAATCTAAGTGTCGTTACATGGTCCGTTGACGTGCGCCCTGAAGAAGGGGGGGGGGCGCTTTATACGCACCTTCTACACCCTGTACAACCCAAGGGCCCATACTTCAGAACTCTTTAAAGGAAGGGACCATGTAACTACCCTTAGATCAACTACACCCAAGAGTAACCTAGGAGCACAAAAGTGTTTTTCAAGGTCTTACAAGGGAGCCTCAGCCCCGGGAAAAAAAGGAAGTAACGGCCTTCTCTGGGTCCTAGGGTTTAGGGTTTAGGGTTTAGGGTTTAGGGTTTAGGGTTTAGGGTTTAGGGTTTAGGGTTAGTCAACGACCCGGCTTTCATGTGCCGAGCTGCGCATTGCGGTCGCTTAGGGCGTGGGATGTTTAGGGGGGTTTAGGGGTTTATAGGGCTTTGGACTCCGGACCTAGGGCTACTCGAAGGTTCACGCGACTCACTCGCCGGTTAAAGTTGGGATTCTAATCCTACTTATCATCTAACTGGCCGAATATAGGTCCTCCAAACAGAGGTTGGCTTATGACTCCATCGAGTTCGCAAGCACAGACCCTCAAGTTCGGGCAAAGGGCTTAAGGCTTAGCTCGAACGTGCAAGCCTCACCAGCAGCCAAGCTGCATAGCCGCGTCGTCACTCCAGATGAAGTGACGAAGAGAAGCGTGCTCCAAATTCCTTGTTGTCTAGGCTTTCGGATGTAGGGAATTATCTGCCCATCGATATTGTGACAACTTTTTGTACATTCCCAACCCCAAAGCCAAAACCCTAAACCCCGAACCCTTAGTTCCTTTCGCAGCAGTCGAGATGCTCGACGTTGTCGACTACGGCGATGACATACCTCAGCGCGTGGCTGCATCTGACAAGCGGTGTGAGGGTTTAGGGTTTGGGGGTTTGGGGTTTAGGGCGCAGGGTTTAGGGTTTGAGGTTTAGGTTTAGGTTTTGGTTTAGGATTGGGGGTTAAG